CAGAAATGGGACAAGGAGAGACAGCCCCCAAATCAGATTTAACTTAGGGGACAATAAGAACTCGGGGCTCCTTTTCTCCTCTCCTCCCACATTAACGCAGCCCAATGCAGGTAATGTATGCACGTGTAGTTATCCAGTAGGCCAAGTAAATGAGCTGTGCTGCCAGACACCTGGCAGGGTGAAAGTATGCCGTGCACTTGGGAAGTCCTGGGAAAAAGGCAACTAGGGGGAGTGAGGTAGGTAGCATGGCCAAAAAAGTCAACTACAGCACATTACTGCTGTTGCATCTCAGCTGTTGTGCTGATCTGTGTTTTCCATAGTCTTACTTTATAGCTGTGTGCCACCTATATGTTTAGAAACTCTGTGGCTTACCAACAAAAAGGTGATAATATTTTCAGTGCAAATAGAATCATGGTCTTTTTCTCCCCTAATCTCATTCTCAGAAATTGCCAAATTAATTTTATTAAAATTTAGATACGTGTTCACGTAGAGCATGCAAAGGTAGAGGGCGCACAGGCAGCAGTTTTTAATATTAAAAGCAACTGGAAACAGAGCTCTAAAGTGAAAATAACAGTATTGATTCCAGTTTCTGTTACCAGTTCTCACAGTAGAGTTTTTATCAGCAAATATCATTGTCTTCTTGCATCTTTTTTCACTAATAGAATGAGAAGATTGCTAGAAGAAGGGCAGAACTCCTAGCAGAACAAAAAAAAAGGAAGGAGGAGGTAAGAAAACAAAAGTGTACAAAACCAATTTAAATAGAAGTGTTTGCACTTGTATCGTAGAAATTTCTACAGCTTTTACTCACAACTTGCAGAGCAATGTGGAATAGTAAATATGTGGTAGACTGCCAGAAACCTCTGCTTTCCAAAGTAATTTGAAAAGTTGTTGAAATTCGTTTAGAAACCGTTGATTCATTCTACTAAAACCAATTCTCAGTATGTGCTGAAGTCAGCAAAATACTTACGAATGCGTTTAACTTACCTAATTTGTAAGTGTAAGAGTAGCCCTACTAATTGCAATTAGGCATTGGCTTTAAGTCCCTTGTTAATACCAAATGGAATTGTTCCAGATTTCTGCCCAAATGCAATTACAAAGGTACGATAGCACAGTGCAACACATCTGTAATTTCTTTTGAAATACAATTTCAGCATTTACTAGATTTTTGCTTGCAATAAAGAATGCCCCTAAAATGTTGTTGAATGGTTTAATAATTTCTTGAATTAATGAGTTTTATAATTTAAAAAAAAAAAAGCAACAAAAACTGGAGTAGTATATGTTCCCTCAAAGCATCTGTATATAAGACATAAAAGTATTTTACATTTATAGGTTTTAGCAGATGGGGAAAATTATGAAACCAGTGAGGAGGAAGACGAGACTGCAAATGAAGACATTGAAGCTATACTTGAAGAGGAGTTTTTTGAACAAGAAGAAGAAGAGCCTGAAGAAGAACAAGAGATTGATGCTGTTGAGCGCATGCAAAATGAGATTGTAGAAAGGTTTGATTCAGAAAGAGAAAGCATAGAAGGTGTACAGGTACCTATTCCACTATGTTTTTTATAAAGCTACACGATTTAAAAATGGTATTATAACATATGGCTATGATACAAGAAGTCTTCATTTTTATTTTAGTTGTCAGACTTCAAAATATAAACAATATTGCTGCTGACATCTGAAAACTGTACTGAGAAGTTTTATGCTTTAGAAAGTATGAAAATTGTAAGAATAATAGGTGAATTGATGCTGGCAGCCAAATTTGAAATTCATATGAACAATATTTCAAATATACTTTTAAAGGCAAAATTCTAATAACAGAATTACATGCTGGGACTACATACTGTTACATAATATTCCTTAGTTACAGCTTACTCAACATTTTTCCCATTGTTCTTTTTTTTTAATTTCAAGAATTTTTAATGTGTTTATGAATAAGTTTATATAACTTAATATTTCTGATTCATGTTCTAAGGTTAACTAATTCTTTAATTTAATTAATTTATGGTCCCGTTTGACATGGTGCAATCTTCCTCTTTTATGGTAGAATAAATCACCTTGAGAAGGGAATAATGGTATTTGATTATTTTTTATAAAATATACTTCTAAAGATTTCACTTATCATAGTGGATTCCTCAGTGTGATTTATTAGATTTTCAATTTCTTTTAGAATATGGTGATACTTAATATAGTCTGACTAATTTAAAGCTTCAGTGGAGAGGAAGATCAGTTTTCATCTCAAATATTGCTGATTTACAGTGACTGAGAACGTGCTCAAGATACTGTCAACAGTTCATAGAAAATCTTATTGAAGATATGAACATGTTTATCATTTCTAATATTTTGTTATTTTTTCATTGATCAGGAAGAACTTGAAAAATTCTTAATACCACAAATGGAGATCAGTGGAAGACGGAAGCTGCGCATAGTACGCTACCAAATGTATTGCAAGCTGAATTCTTTAGTGGAAAATCGTGGAAGCATTTTTGAAAAATGTTACCCAATAAGTTTGCCACTTGCACATAAGGTGTTAGTTTTGTCATATAAATTTCCAAGTTCTTTTGGTCAGTGGGATCCAATCAAGGTAATTATCTTGAATAGCACTTATGAAAGTAATGTTATCATAAAATATATATAATATTATGTATATAATATTAAAAACAATGAGTCAATATCAGATAATGCCAATAATACTTAATCAAAACCATGTAGGTTGCTCCAAATATAATGCCTCCTATTTATTTCCATGAAAACCACAACAGATACAAAGAGCACAACAACACTGGTAGAGCAAATTCTCAGATACAAAACACTATTTTCAACATAATCACCACCATTAGCTATGCATTTTTGCCAGTGATGAACAAGAGCCTGCATCCTATGCTTGTAAAAATCTGCACTAGCGGAAGTGACGCACTGTCTCTATCGCAACCACTGAAATGCACCACTCACTGCCTCACTGTGTTCACATCCACTGTTTTGTATCCATCAACATTCAGCAAGCATCAGTGAATGTCAGTGGGTGCAGTTTTTTCCACGTGCAGGAAATCACTGACAAACCTTTTCTTCATCCTCACTTCCATGTCATTATGTCAGACTGCCACACAGCAACAGCACATAATGGAATACTGAAGGGAAGGTTCATCCTGTACTACTATGCTACCACCACCATCTCCCTGTAGTGTTGTTGGCCAGCATAATAAAAAGATTTCTCCAATTTATTCATTTGTGCTGTGTAGTGGTTTATTTATTTATTTATTTATTTATTTTAACCAACTAGAAAGCAATAGTTGAGTTAGAAGAATGAAGGAAGTCCTAGGAAGCCATTAGATGAAATCAGAGAAGCGTGCTGCCAGTAAGAAATGTACATGCTATCAATAAGGAAAGAAAAATAAGATCATTTTGAGGATATTTTATGATGTACAAATGAAATGATTAAATTGATTAAGGACTAGAGGGCTTTTTGAAGAAGGGCAGGTAGAATATATGACGACTACATTTAGATTAAATTGAAGAGGGGAAGTAGTTATGCAACTGATTAGATAAGCAGAGAAAGACGATGAGCTGAAAGAGGATTGTGAGCAAATATACAGTAGATCAGACTCCAGGCATTCTTATAAATTGAAGGCAAGCACTCAGAAATGACTTTGTGTGACAATGGGAACCTAAGAATTAGAGAAGGTCTGTCAAGATAATGCCATGCAGTAAACAGACTCTTATCTTACTGTAACAAGATCATCTTATTTGTAAGTTAACTAACTATTCAAAAAACACTAATAGATTTGAGAGGTATGATTTCATTTCGCAGAAGAAGCTGAGTTGGCATCTCCTCCTTATTTCATATGTATTGCCTATGACTACTGATTTTTTCCTTAATATATTTCAATTTGCTCAATACAAGCTCGGATTTACTGGACTGTGGATGCCAGGATTCATCCTGGAGGCCTTTCAAATAAATATACTCACTTTTTGGACGTACGTTTTTTTGTGGAAGGACAGCAATAAGTTACACATCAGTCAGTAACAATTTCACTTCTGAGTCCCCTTTGAACTGTCAGGTGAATGCCATCTGGTCTTTGCAGTCTTTTTTCTACGATGTCTCTAGTTTGTTCTAAAAACTTCTGACACTGTAAGGCGGTTCCTCAAAGAAAGAGAATAACAAAAGACGTGACAAAATTCTTCTATAGCAGTGGTGCAAGAAATTCACTTAGTATTTCTGCAATGACCAGTTTTGCCATTGGTGCTTCTCTTGCATCTCAATTAGCCATCAGCTCTATAGACTTCCTAGTGGTTGTCTCATGTGTTCAAAAAGATTCCATCACCAGCATATGTATTTTATTAGGTTTCGTTATTTTTACATTTCATCACAGTGTATGTATTGATATTCTTTTCCATTTTATTTATAAAATATTCTCAGTGTATCTTTTACTGTCAGACAAATAATGTGACTCTTTTGTAATTTACGGAGACATTATATTTATTTATTTATTTATTTATCCTTGATAGAAATGTCATCAGTTGTTTGAAAATTAAAACGTACTGTTATACCTCTGTGATTACTTTTCTGATAGACAGAAAGTGTTATGGTACCACCTGCTGGAAATAGTGAATATTCTTTCTCCCCTTGGTGTCCACCTTTTTGTACAGAAATTGCATATAGAAATTCCACAGACTTGCACAAAATCCGTCTCTATGTATGTCAAAATAGAGTGCAGTTGGTACTTCTTTACTTGCCCATAAAGCTACGTTTGTAAGATGGAGAGTGCGGAGGCTATGCCAAATCTAATCAGCTGCTTCATATTTTGTATGTTCTACAGCTAAACGAAGGAGAGATAATCAAGCCAGCACAAAACTATGAAAACACACTCTTTCCTGTAATTCATCGACAATATGTTTATTTTTTTTCAAGTAAAAAAAACAGAGAAACATTTATGAACAATCCCATCAAATATATTTGTCAGCCGAAGCCTAAACCACCTGTGCCAGTTAAGATTGCAATTGTGGGACCTCCAAAATCTGGGAAAACTACAGGTAAGAGCCAATATTCTCTATAAAGCAGAAGATTATCTAATGATTGAGACTGTGTCTGCCATGGCTGCTACTGAAAAAATCATGAGCCTTTAATATGGTCTTCCTGCTTTTCATGCTAGGCATAGAGTCCTACAGTTACACTCTCTACTGTATCATTTTACAGCCTGGTACTTATGCATTTCCCATCTTAATTTTATTCCCAGCTTCTTATGAAGTTGTTATTGACATAGACTAGCGGTTAGAAAATCTAGACTTGTATTACTTAAGCATGTTTTATTATTTCTAGTTATTCTAGTTGGTTGTTATTTTTTTCAATTGGTATGATGAAAAGAGAATTTCTAGGATCGTGGACCAGAACCCAAAATTCCACATCTACCGCTCTGTTGCCTCTTCCCTCATCTTCCCTCTTTTTTCTTCTCCTTCCATGACTTCTTCAATCCCCAGGTCTCTGCTTCTAACTAGAGGAAAAGAAAATGCAGCTTAGATCACAACTTAACGATCAGCTTAAAGTGCTAGAAAAAGAAGGGTTTAAATGATTTCATATTAAAGAGGAAATTCTAACCATATTTCCCATTTCCAGTGTGAGTGATCTGAAACTGTCAGGCTGTTCTCTAAAGGAGGCAGTAGAAAAAGTGTATTTTCTTAGATATTTACTATGGCTGCTGAGGTTTGAGATAAACTGAATAGTGTCAGTGCATTGGGCACACTCTGCACACATGGAAAGCTTTGGGTTCTTAAAGGATCTAACCAGAGCTAGGTACCTGCTTACCAAGGTTACGTATGGAAATGACCCAAGGAATGAGCACTCAGCTTCCAAGGCTAAAGATAGGCTTTAACAGACTGCTGGGTTTTGACATTGTCTGCATAAAAGCTGTTTGTTGAAATCAAAATGTTTTGCAGTTGCCAAGAAATTTGAAAATGTGTATGGACTACGTAGGCTGAGCATGGGAGATGCCATACGGCTCGTGTTAAACAATCAGCCAGAGAGTGAGTTGGGGCTTCAGTTAAAGTGGCATCTTCACAGAGGGCTGACTGTACCTGATGAGCTGGCCATCCAGGCCCTGGATGTGGCCCTGATGGATCGTGTGTGTGCTACCATTGGGTAAGCACAAAGTCTTCTTTGGCCTTCTTCTTTGGGGGAAATCAAATCAATTTATTTTTCACTGTAAGTCAATTTATTTTTTACTTTAAATTTCCTTCTCCCAATCCATACAGGCATTTCAAATAGTTAAAATCATGCTTCTGAATGATGGATGTGTTGGAATTTGGAAATCTGCCATACACTTACATTATTAATCTTTTGCCCATTGTGTATTTAATTTATTTTTTACTATTTCTTATTGTCACTATACTATTGTATTAATTTTAACTCACAGAATCGCAGAATCACAGAATTGTAGGGGTTGGAAGGGACCTCCAGAGATCATCGAGTCCAACCCCCCTGCCAAAGCAGGTTCCCTACAGTAGGTCGCACAGGTCGCAACTCCTCTGAGAGAAGACTGAGTCAAGTCAGGGCAGCACTGATTTAATCGCTTGGAAGTCGACTTCTGTCTCCGTTGAGAATGTACTCAGAGTATACGTAGCCTTAATGATTAATTAGTAACTGACTTAGAAAAACTGTATTTCTGTTTCTGGTTGTATGCAGAGTTGTTATTGATGGATACCCTGTAACGAGAAAACAAGTAAACCTCTTGGAATCAGCTAGAATAATTCCTGTGAAAATCTTTGAGTTAGAAATGGACGCAAAGGAAGTATTCAGAAGAGCTCTGCTGGATAAAGAAAGCACAAATAGGTAGTGATGCTCTCTGATACTTTTATTCACATAATTTTGTCACCTCTCTGTGTGCGTGCCTTGGTGCAGAGAGGTTATATTTTACATAAGAGAAGATAAGGGCACCAGGCCTTACACCGTCTAATGCTTTAATTTCCATAGACCAGAAGCAGAGACATAAGTTGCCAGAGAAACTTGTGGCATTCTCTAGATAGATCCCTAGAGTGCATGACTGAGAAAATGTAGATAAGCAAGGGCATGCACCCATTGCTTAGTTTAATTGATTTTATTGAAACCATTATCAGAATTATTATGAGTTCGCTGAAGTTTATTATTCATCAGTTCAATTATTGCCATCGTAAGAGAAATTGATGCTTCACCTAATGAACTCTATTCTTTAAGTTTTTGTTTTCTTTTAAGAAATGTGGAAATAATGTATGTTTTAATAATGTACAATTTGTGAATTAGTCAACAAACTAGAAACTGAAATCTTTGTTTGAAGAGCCACTTGTTGTTTTTGAAGAAGAGCAGTAAGTAGTTTATAAACCAACAGATAATTAAAAAGAACAGAACGTTCAGATTATAATTGAATTGTATAAGGACCTGGTTCTCATTAGAGGAAGAGTTTCTAAGAAGTTTCAAATAGCTTAGAGCATTATTGCTTGTCCCTTTCATTTTGTCTCTTGTTTTATCAAGTAATCAGTATGATACATAATTGTTTACTAAAAACTTGAAGACAATTTGCACTGCCAAAAATTAAATTAATGGTATCTCTTTGAAAATATTTACTTTAACATTTCAATTCTAAATATCAAACTGATTATATTTTATAAGTTTAAATATATAACAAATGTGCAATATTTCTGAAAAGTACAACTTACAGAGAAATGAATCCTATCAAAATAGAAGTTTATATCTATTTTAAAAATCTTTTAAATAAGAACCAGTGCAGTAGATGTTTTATGTTCAAGTGAAAATTTCTCTTCTGGTCTTGAGTAAGATTTCTAAAGGTTAAATAGATTATTTATGTATATACATGGAAATGTGACAGACATACAGTTTGCAAAATGTATCTGGGAATGATTGTTACTTCTTGATTTCAAGTAATATAATTTAAAACTAAGCCTGTTTTGCAGTGAACAACTGACATTCATTTGAAGAGTCTCGTAAGATTTTGTAGAGTAGCATTTCATGGTATACTGATAGTGTGTGTCAGCTGAAGTGTGCTGACACATTCAGAAAACAGAATGTATTTGGGACATAAACAGCAAAATATTTGTTTCTGAATGTAACTTCCTGGTCAGCAGCTTATTTCTGAAATGACAATGAAACTCAATATTCTTAATATGGAAGTTGTATTCTCAAATATGATTTATAATTTCAAATAAGCAAAATCTCAAACAAAACAAAACAAAACAAAAACAGACAAACCGAAAAACCTTGAAATGAATTCTTATATTTACATTCAAATTTCAATGAAATGATTTAATCTTCACATTCCTATTAAGTCAGCGCTATTTTTTTTGTTCCCTTCAGACCTCCCTACCCTGTACATGACAGCTCACAGATTCTGGCAATTAAAAATTCCTACTATAGGCAACATATTGACGCAATTAGGACTTCTTATAAGAAAGAGCATCAGAACTGGTGCGTGATTGATGCATTTCAGAGCAAGTGGTGGATATGGGACAGAGTTCTGCAGGAAGTTCAAGTGATTGTTAAAGAAATCCAGATATACCTGGAAAGAATAAGAGAAGGTAAAGAAAAAAACAAAGTTGCTCAGAATAATATTCATTTAAGAAGCTGTAATGTAATGACTGTGTTTAAATTCAACTTAAACTTGTTTTGGATGAAGCTAGTTCTTGGGCACACACACATGCCGCAAATTCCTTGATATCCTCTGGACAGAGCTTGAGAGGTATTTTGATGACAGCAAAGAAAAAAGCAACTACAACTCAGCATACAGTCATCTTCCAAAGAACTAGGTAACATAGTACAGCAAAGAGAAATCAACTGTGGTTTTGCAGTCCACGGCTCTTGTCTGCAAGGCTGACAGGACAGATTCTCAACTTTAGTGATAACGTGTTAATATGGCACACATAGTCTGCAATTTATATTATGAAAATAGTGATTTCTCAACTTTAGTGATAACAAAAAGGGGACCCCAGCATGTACAAGGGAATTATGACTTGCAGATTTATTGATGTGCCAGTAGAGGAAAGGGAAAGAAATGGAAAAATATTAACTATAAATTCAGAATTAAGGTTAACTGTGCCATTTGAGTTAATTTCTGTACGGAGGGATGAAAACCATTTTAGTCTAAAATGGCATGGCTCCCACTTGAATTTGCATGTGTCAGTTTTGGTCAAGGTTAAGTGTGTGCCCTTCAAATATGCATGTACTGTTAAACAAGGATTCTTCTAAAAGGCAAACTTGTCTTATCTTCCTTATCTCGTACTCATCTTTTGGTCTTTAACATTTCGGTGGCTGCACTATTATAAGTATTAGTCAAGAGTCAAAAGCTTGGGAAGAAGAGTTTTAAGTACCTTGGGTTTTATAGGACATTTTGTTCAAGATTTTGAATATATTTTGTCCAGACAGATTGTAGCATTTGCAAGATGTGCATAAATAAACAGGAAGCTTTCCTCAAGCCTTGTACTCTTTTTCAACAATGTAAAGAAATATAATAGTGAAATGTTCCTTAGCAACACAAAGGAGTAAAACAAATTATAAATAACGCTGTTCTAGGGAAAACATACTAGTGTATGCTAAGCATGCACTGTATGTCATATAATAAATAACTATTCCAGTAAGTAAATTCTAGAAAATTTTTATTACAATTAACTGGTAAATTGAGTTGCAACTTCATTTTAATATTGATAAATAAAAATTGCTATTTTGGTTTATTTCTGTTATTACATATTTTAATATGATAAACTGTAACATTTAAACTGTGATGTTTTTACACAGAAATGCTTTGTATTTCTGTCTTCCGTTAATAAAATGAATGATTAAGGAGGGCTGGAGCATCTCTCCTATGAGGAAAGGTTGACGGAAGTGGGTTTGTTTAGCTTGGAGAAGACTCCAGGGAGACCTCATTGTGGCTTTCCAGTACTTTAAGGGAGTGTATAAACAGGAGGGGGAATGACTGTTTACGAGGGTGGATAGTGATAGAACAAGGGGTCGTAAGTGAGACAGAAGAGGTTTAGGTTAGATATTAGGAGGAAGTTTTTCACACAGAGGGTGGTGACACACTGGAACAGGTTGCCCAAGGAGGTTGTAGATGCCTCATCCCTGGAGGCATTCAAGGCCAGGCTGGATGTGGCTCTGGGCAGCCTGGTCTGGTGGTTGGCGACCCTGCACACAGCAGGGGGGTTGAAACGAGATGATCACTGTGGCACTTTTCAACCAGGCTATTCTAGGATTCTATGATACCATTCATTATTTTTGTTAACAGGAAAAGCAGCCAGCATTGCTGATTTATGCATCACCCCTGAAGAGCTGCAGTACCGGCTGGGAGAGTTTGGACAGTACTGTCCTGTCAGCCTTGCAGACAGGGGTGAACTAGTTGACTGCTCTGTAACATCGTCACTACAGTTTGCTGCAGAGTTTCGAGCACACTATTACAAAATGGCTTCACAGGAAGAATTGAAAGTAAGTGTCAAAAAGCTTGTGTGGACTGAATTACTGAGAGAGGAAGCATTGTTTCTTGGATTCTTTGATTCAGTACAGAAACAAGCAAAGTGTAATTCAATTTTGACTAGTTTCATTAGTATTCTCACTTTTGGTTTGTATACTTTGCTATCCAGTGTCCAGTCAGATGGAATGTAGCAGAGTCCAGTTCAAACCTGTGCACCTCTTACAAATGGACATAGATGAAAGATTAATTTTAAAGCAATCGTTTTCCCCTTTCTCCATCTGTTTGGTAGTGGGCTGGGGGTAGGAAACAACTAATGGTAACAATGGATAGTGATAGTGGTGGGTGGATAGTGATGACTTCAACTGAGAGTGGGTTGGAGAACAAATGAGTTACCCAAGAGTAGCAGCAATGCCAGCACATTAGGAGAGGTGATGTAGAAGAAATATTGAAATTGAGTGAGCCATTCTTCTGGAGTTTGACTTACTGTAGAGAATCTGCTTTAGCAGGGGGTTTGGACTCCATCTTTACAGGTCCCTTCCAACTCTGCAATTCTGTGATTGTGTGGTTAACAATCTTATAGTGCTTCTTTCATTATAAAAACATTTAATTTCTTCTACAGAAATTCTTGAGCAGACCAGAGATTTATGTGGCACCACTGGCACCTCACCCTCTTCCACCTCCAGATAAGTTACCACAAAAACTGACAGCAGCAGAAGTGAAGGCCTTATTCCCTAAAAGTGCTGAAATGCAAGGATACTGTCCAGTCACTTACCTAGACGGAAAACAGAGGTACATCATCACTATTTTTATAATACAAATTGCAGACTATTTGTCCCATATTAACATGTTAATGAGGAAATACTTTGAAAATACTTTTTAAAAGTATATTCAGGGTTTGGATAGGGAAAGCAATCACAATCCTCTACATTGCACCTGTGGCTTTGGAAATCTACATAAAATATCCTTTTGAAAAGTACATGACTACTGGTTTCAGACGGAAACTGGACAGCTTGTACAGTAAGTAAACTTCAAGTACAAAATGTCAAAGTTGTGGGACCTTGGAAGGCTTCATTGAATATGAGTTTGCATTCCACTCCTGCCGTAATTCCACTTCAATATAAAATATAGGTATATATTTTCTGTCTTCCTTATGCTTTCAGCTTTCACAGGAAGGAAAGCCAAGCATGCAATGTGGAAAGGAATGGCGCTAGTTATAGTGTGAAAACTGGAGATAAGCAGCACACCTGACCAGCTTTTTTCCAAAGCTTTTGCTTCTCTTCTTCATTTGTTTTCTTGCAGTGATGGGCACTAAAAACATTGGTGCTTTAGCTGTTATAAGATTCTGTATTAGTCTTTATTTTGAGGCTGAAAGCCTATCAGCCCCCTTTCCTTTGCAGTGTGGTCTAGAGAATTTCAAGTAACTAGGCTGAGCTACATCTGCAGCATTTTAAATATCAATTCCTGTACACCTGTAAATGAAAGAAGGAGGGCTGGATGTTTTTCCAAAACCCTTGAACAACTGTAAGGCAGACTTACCTAGTGGAGACTCAGGTTGGCCAAATGATCACCTACTGAAAATCGAGAATGAAAGATTTATAGGTCAGCATTTCCTTGAGCCTAGGATCATTTATTTTGTGTTTTGGATAATGTCAATTGATGTAAGCCCGTGCTTAAACAGAATTGATTAAAATGCATGGACCTCTTTCCCCAGAGCTGACTAGAGATGAGAATAAGCTTCACCATGAAGTCACACTTATTTCCTCAGTATGCAGTAATTTCTCATTGAGGTACAACCATTAACAATCAATTTTGTGCTGTCCAGTCTTAATCTTTTAAATAACCACATTTGGCATTTTATCTAGAGTGGTTCAATGAAAGTCCATTTATAAACAGATTTTAAGGCAGGGACTCACTCAGATTTTGATCCTTGTAGCTGCCAGTAATGTAATGGAAGCATGGACAACCTGATCAGTACTGTTTTGTAGTGCCTGTAATTGCTGAATTACCAGAAGGCTCTCACTGTCTGGTGAGTTTAGAGCACGCAAGTGATGCTTTACATTTCTTCTAAATTAATATTCATTCTTCCTCTGTCTCTTCAGATATGAAGCTTTGGTGCCTGGCAACACTGAGTACGCTGCAAAATACCAGGATAAGCTGTATGTTTTTGAAAGTGAAGAAAAACTTCTGAAGTTTATGAGGTGAATATACTAGCTGCACTGCAAACTTTAATCATGTTACGATTTATACATCTCTAAAGCACTTATTTTTTATCTGGTTAGGTTACCAGAGAAGTATTGGAATCTGAAGCTTCCACATAAGCTCCCTCCTGTAAGGGAGCCGATACTACTCACTGCACTTCCCATGGCTGGATACCTTGAGCAGGTCAGTTGTTGCTTCTTTTTTAAAAAACATGATTTTGCAATGTATAGCATACACCAAACAGTGTGTGTTTGATTAACACCAGTTTTGATTTGTTGTTGTAGTTTTTATTGTTGGATGGTTGTTGGGGCTTTTTTGTGGTTTGTTTTTTTTTTTTGTGTGTGTGTGTTTTTTAATGCACTATGAGTCTTATGATTCCTACTGGGACTGTATTAAATTGAAAATAGTGTTTTTAAAATTGAGATAAATTTTTAGAACATTTAAAATAAGAGATACTTGTAATTTTAATGGCAAAAACAGCAACAAAACAAACAAACAAAAAATCGAGTATATTCACCAGAGGGAAATAAGAAACTGCAAAAATAAAAAATAGATTTTAAATCTCTTTTGCTTATCATATCTTGTAACATTGCATTTTGCTTTTATTTTTAAAACTAGGATAGTCCCAAGCATATATCTGGAGTCATTTAAGGATAGCTGGTTGCATTTTGAGACGTGGTTATGAAATAAAAAGATGATTCACAGTCACTTTCCTCCCAGTTTTATATTTGGTTGTTCACAGGATCATAGAATGGCCTGGGTTGAGAAGGACCACAATGATTGTCCAGTTTCAACCCCCCCCGCTTTGTGCAGGGTCGCCAACCAGCAGACCAGGCTGCCCAGAGCCACATCCAGCCTGGCCTTGAATGCCTCCAGGGATGGGGCATCCACAGCCTCCTTGGGCAACCTGTTCCAGTGTGTCACCACCCTCTGGGTGAAAAACTTCCTCCTAATATCTAACCCAAACCTCACCTGCTGGGGATTTTTGGTTGGTTTGTTTGCTTTATCATTAGATATCGTCTTAGATACTTAGATTTGCTTGACAACAGGATCTGGATTTTGACATGTTTGTCTTTTAAATCTTTGTGATGGTGTTCCAAAACTTCTATTTCCTTAGGGAGTAGCAATTTCTCTAATAAAAGCTCTGAATGAAGTAGGATGCTTAAAGCCAAAGTTCCCATTTCTAAGTGTAAGAAGAACTGCTCTCCTTTTTGTGGCCTGCCATCTAAAAGGTAGTGTATAAAATAAAATGTAGTAAATTAAATAACTGCAGTAAATCATCTGATTCAACATTGATAATTAATTTCTATTGTTTTCTTAATGCCCAATATGGGAAAATACCATTATAGTATAGGTTAAGTACTCACTGCCAAGTTTCTGGGGAACATGCATAGAGCAGGGAGAAAAATAAGGTAAATAGGATAGGCAGATAGATAGGCTCATAAATAATGAGATCTGAATAACATTTTATCACCAAGAACCCAGCAGTCTTGATAATATTCCTAACATGGATCAACGAGTTTTGAAACAAAAAGATTATTTATCTAGGTTGCACCAGATTTGCTGGAACTAGTCTCAAACGACTGGAATTGTCTTTAAAATGACTGAAATCACTGTGATTGAGGACTCCTGAAATATTATCTGGGAGTTTCAGAGTGCTCTGGTTTCCAGTATACTCCAAGAGATTTCTTCAGCCCACCGGTTTTGGCTTTGATGAGCCAATCTGTCTGGTGATTTGCCTTTTGTTTTCATAACTTTTTCCTTATATTTCCAGATAGTTGCAATCTTTATTATGTCTGCAATTTTTCACATTCGGTGTTTCCCCTTGCAGCTTCAAGAGCCCTTCACGGTTTTCTTGGACTGCCACAGGCTTTTGCTAGTGTAGCTTTGTTAAGGAAGACCACTGAGCAGCATAGGCACCATACAAGCCCCTTTATAAATGTACAGTCTTTGAACCAGAAAAAATGCTTCTATACTGTAGCTTGCTTTATCTACAAAATATCTTTTTTTTTTTTGTTTGTTTGTTTTTTTTGTCTTTTTTTCTATTGTTAGCCCAGCTCCTAATATAATTATGTCCATGCTTGGAATGCTTTTCTTATATGTTGCATTATTAAATCAGATGATGAAGTGAAAATGTTATGCAAGTGCAACAAAACTCTTCTCATGTACTGACATTTTGACCACAGGAATCCAGGAAAACAGGTTTTCCCCTTCTAAGACTGTGCAGAACTGTTTCAAACTTTAAGACATAGTGTTCTAGTATACTGAAAAACCTCCTTTGCAAATATAGCATTACTTATTGTCTCCTCAAAGGACTCGTGTTGTTCCTGTTCAAAAACATGATTCAAATGCTTCATGTCAGGGCCCTTTGTGAATGTTTCAAACCCCATTTCTAACTGAAGTAAGACATGTCACTGCACCCTCTTATTTCACATTCAAATAGAGAACAAGAAACAGTGGTCTAGTTGCTCCTGCAGCTTTCCTAACAATCCTGTATTGCCTTTGCTACCTGAGAAGAGAAAGTGCAGGTCATCAATTATAAATGAAGAGAGATTTACTCCTGGAAAAGGAGTAAGAAATTGCACATCCCTATAGTAGTGCCTTAGTGCCCTTCAGACTTAACACCTGTAGAATAAGGCTGTTTACATTTTAAAGCTGAAGTGGGCTGAAGTGTTCCATAGCTCTTTGTGCTGCTCAGTCTTTGTTAAGAGATATAAAATACCATCTCCTAGGAAGAAATGGTTAGGATTTGTCTGTTCTAAGCCTCTGACTGCCCTTTGCCTATGTAACAACAACAGATACTCTGAGGGGTGACACTCAGCACTAATATACCCCAAAAATATGTTTCAGGGCAGAGGTAAGAGGAAAGAAGCATTACTGTCCTCACTGTAAACGAGGCTTTGACATTTCCTTCCTTCCTTGCTTCTGAAATACTGGAGATACACAGTCAGCTCTTGATTTTTTTATGGGCAAAATATTTAGGTCATAGATAATTGAGCTAGGATGCAGAAATTCCAAAAATGATGGGGAGCTCGCCTGGCTCTGGGCAAATGGATTAGTTTACACACGGAAATATGGCCATGCTACGTTTGCTGAGCTGCCAGATGGCGCTCAGGACGACTGCACGCACCCCTGACTAACCCTTTTGCAGGATCGAAGGGTTTGGAAGGGATGTGTTTCCCTCACTTTCGAATGGAACTTCCCGTGTTCCACTTTGGAGGCCTCCCGCACTGTTACCCGCACGAGACACGGCTGCAGACTCAGTGCTATCACTGCCCGTGCCGCAGCCGCAATCTCACGCAGGACTCTCTCTGTTCTCGCAGCGCACAACGCCCGCAGCCCGGCGCACAGGAGACAGGCGTACCGCAGGCGGCTGGCGCGGCTCGGCGAGCACTGCGAGCTCATCCCCTACCTGGGGAGGGCGATGCAGCGCGAGTACATGGAGCCCCAGCACCGACCGCTCGGCTTTGACCTCAAGCTGCAGACCTTCCTGTCGCTGAAAGACGCCAGCCCGAGCTTTGTCTAGTTCGGACTGCGTTGTTTTGTTGGTTTTTTTTTTTCAGGTACTGTCTTTCTTTCCCCGCGGAGCGGAGCTGTATGCCGCCGGGACAACTGTTATGCCTACAGCACCGCTAAACTTAAAGCTGAAAATAAAACGTTTTCCTTCCAAGCGTGCTGCTATAGCTCTCTCCGCACCCACCTACACCCGACGGCCCCGCTATTGGGGCGGTCGCTGCCGCCGTCCGACGTCACGGCGCCGGAAGTTGCGGCGGCGGCGGTAGCGGCGGAGCGGTGAGTGCTGGCCCGGCCCCGGCGGCCTCGCACCGGTCCCGAGCTCTCGGGAGTAGCGGCCGGGCCCGGGCCTAGCGTGGGGCCGAGCGGGAGGCGGGCGCGGCGGTGACCCTGAGGCCGCTTCTCTTCCTCGGCGTGGGCCGCGGGCCCCGCTCCCCTTCGTTGCCTGCGCCGCACGGGGTCTGCGGGCGTTGCTTGTGCCGGGAGGCATGCGTTGGGCGCGGCGCTGCTGGCCGTGCGGCTGCAACCCCGTGCGTGCTCTGACCCCGGTGTGCTGGGTTAGCGTGCCCGAGAGCGGCGTTCCGCCACTGAACGCCGAAGTCCGTCCTTCCTTCCTGTGATCCCAGCCCATCGCATAGGTTCCGCCCGACGGGGGAGATTGTGAGGGTAGGGGATGTAGGGTCTAAGGAAAGGTTATTTACCACGAGGGTGGTCAAACACCGGGCCAGGCTACCAGAGGGTTGGTTGGTGCTTGTGCTCCTCTCCTCAAGAGGTGCTTGGGCAGTGCCTGCACTGACACGCTGTAACTTCTGATCAGGCTGGGCTGGGTGGGCTTCATGGGTCCCTTCAGCTGTGCATGGGACTGTGCTTTAGCTTCGGCATGAGCTGTTTGGTGACTGGAGCTAAACGGCTTGTGAGCTGCTCTGCTCACCCTTAGGTGTCATCTGAGCCTACTGTGTGATGCTTCGTACAGCCTTCCTGCAGCTGGTCAGAGCTGCTGCCTTCACTGAGCACTTATAGGTGTTCATAGGTGTACTTCTGTCTACAATACAGAACCTATAACTTCAAGTGGCAGATAGTTAAGAGGTTTCACTTTTGGCTCAGCTGACACTCAGGAAATGCCCCATCCCTGGAGGCATTCAAGGCCAGGCTGGATGTGGCTCTGGGCAGCCTTGTCTGGTGTTTGGTGACGCTGCACATAGCGAGGGGGTTGAAACCAGATGATCATTGTGGTCATTTTCAACCCAGGCCGTTCTATGATTCTATGATCCTATGTCTAGCATGGGTCTTCCGTAGTATTTTCATTTTCATTTCATTTCTTCTGAAATTGCTTGATCTTCATTATTTATTAAAGATAGATTAACAGTTAACATTTGGCATACTCAGCCGTATTTTAGACAGAGATCTTAAGAAAACAAAAACAACATCCATTAGAGTAAAGGGTGAAGCTTAGAAGGGTGAAGCTTAGAAGGTGAGCATTCTGAAAGATCAGCTTTCAGGAGGGCACGGAGTTCTGCCAAACCAATGCTGGTAATGTTTTATTCACAATCATAGGATTTCAGGGCAAAATAGGGCATCTGCAGCAACGTGGCTGTGGTTGACTTTTTGTTTGTTTGTTTGCTTCTGCTTAGGAGCTATGAACAAAGAGTTCTGTTTGTTTTAGTTGTGAAAGAGGAGTTCTCAGAAGGGGTGGCCATACAGTTTGTGGTACATTAGAGCTAAACAGCTGAAACAGTTGGCTGTAACTGATATAGGAAGAAGCTACCTGTGGTCATTTGTTAGGATTTTAAGACATTCTGAAGAAGAAAATCTCTGCTGGCATTAGAGCTGACTTTATACAAACAGTTCAGAAGCTTCAGAATTGCTTCAGAAATTGTTGAACTCTCTTGACTAATGAACAAAATGGTATTTGATGTCTTGTAACACTGACTTCTAAGATTTGTTTAACTTATTCTGTCCTTGCAGGTGCCTCCTTGCATATACACAATAAAAATGGCAGAAATGTCTCCTGACCCTTCTGAGAAACTGGTCGTCATCCACTCCAAAACTCACAAACATACCGTTCTAGCTAACTTTGAAGAACAAAGGAAGAAAGATTTTCTTTGTGACATTACTCTAATAGTGGAAAATGTGCAATTCAGAGCCCATAAAGCGTTGCTCGCTGCCAGCAGTGAATACTTTTCAATGATGTTTGTAGATGAGGGCGACATAGGGCAGTCGATTTACATGCTGGAAGGAATGGTTGCTGATGCCTTTGGAGCACTGCTGGAATTTATTTACACGGGTTATATCCATGCTACTGAGAAAAGCTCGGAACAGATTATAGCTACTGCACAGCTCCTGAAGGTGAACGACTTGCTGAGGGCCTACAATGAGTACCAGGCCAGCCGCAGCCCTGGAGACATACTGCCAATCCCTTCCAACAGCAGCACCTCTGTAGCGCTTACTGCAGGTGACAAAAAAAGTGAAGAGCTGCCCAAGCGAAAACGGGGGCGACCGAGGAAGATCAATATTGTCCAAGAGGAAAAGCCAGGAGCAAATTTTGCTGAAGATGTGCAGCTGAAGGAGAATAACTCGATGCAAAATAAACAAAACTTTATGAAAAAAGACATGGCAGCAGAAGGAGTAGTTGTCAGTGAACAAGATCCAGCAAGGAAAGATGCAGAAGAAACAGAACCTGCTGGTGGATCAGAACCTGCTGCCAATCTGTCAGCTGAGAAAGATGAGAATTGTGATCCCAGGTCGGAAGGAATGCAGAGTGCTCAGAGCCGTTACAGCAAACGTAGGCTAAGGAGGTCAATCAAACTAAAAGATTATAAACTTCTTGGTGAAGAGGATGAAAAAGGACTGGCAAAGAGAACTGATGGAAAAAGAAAACGTACAGGTTCTGAGGCTCGTTGTAAAGACTGTGGCAAAGTATTTAAATATAATCACTTTTTAGCTATTCATCAGAGAAGTCATACAGGTAAGCGGTGAGAGATTGTCTCTTTCAGTAGAGGATTTAGTTCTGTTGCACAGTGTGAGCCACTTGTTAAAGTGTGGGCTGTTGTCTGTAGCAAGAGCTGCCCAGAAGACTGCACCAATCCAAATTGTTACGGTGTGTTTCTGAAACTCTCTGCTGTTTTATTCTTATCAACAGGCTTCATAGCCTTCACATCTTATCTTGATTCCAGTTTAGGTAATCATTTCTCTATTCAAACTTTGAGTAATATGGCAATACTTGAATAAATTTTATTGCCACGTGAAGCTTTTCTCTTTCTTTTCATTCTCCTTATCACTTTTAAGAAGTCATTTTATGTAGATACTAGATTCCAGTGAGTCTCACTATCAGCTTAGAATATTTATTGAGAAGTAATGCATCTACGCTGACAAATCTGATTTTAGGAGAGCGCCCTTACAAGTGCAGTGAATGTGGCAAAGGCTTTTCCCAGAAGCACTCTCTTCAGGTCCATGAGCGGATGCACACGGGAGAGCGGCCATACACATGCACTGTCTGCAATAAGGCTCTGACAACAAAGCATTCTCTTCTGGAACACATGAGCCTACATACAGGTAAATATTGCAAAGCAAAGCTAACTCTCCCTGCAACAATACGCCTTTGTAGAAAAAGAAGTATTTCTGCCCTTTCTCATGTGTGTTGATTTTATTTTATTTTTTTTTCCTTTTTATACTTATGTTAGATGTGGGTTGCATTTTAATAAGTGATTTTCTTCACAGGGCAAAAGTCTTTTACATGTGATCAGTGTGGGAAATACTTCAGCCAAAAGAGACAGCTCAAGAGCCATTATCGAGTACATACAGGTATAACGAGCTTTAGTTTAAGAGCTGGCTGACAGTCTGTGCTGATTTGTCCTTGTAAAGATCAACTAAGGCTGAATATTCTTCTTCAGTGATGCATATAGGCTTTGTTACCATGATACGTGATATCTCAATGTAACAATGAATAGGATTGAAAAAACAGAATAGTGAATAATAAATGGAGTGTCTACAAAGGTAGCTAATTGAGGAAGACCCTTCTGATGTTTAAAAATTGTGCTGTATTTACCATAAAACATTTTAGCCCTGCAGCCCATGTTGCATACATGCTGAGAGAGAAAGTATGTTTGAGGGGGGAAATAGTTCTCAGTTCCCTCTTTCACTATGCTAAGAATAAATAGAGAAATAGGGGTGTGTCGTTCTGCTGGTTTGTATGACAAGACAGAGACAAGGCAGTGAATCACCTTTTGTTTTATCTTCGTATTATACCAAAGTGGTTATTTTACAGGAAAGTGCTTTAACAAAGATCACAGAAGAGATAAAGGGGATCACTTATGCACTGACACTTTTTTTATTATTGCGACAAGGCCGTTCATTGCCGGAATGCAACCAGTGTCATCGCAAATTCATGGATGCAGCTCAGTTAAAGAAACATCTAAGAACACATACAGGTAATAATGTCTGCTGTTGTGTTGGTTTTGCTTTTTTTTTTTAACTTGAAATAACACAGACGAAACCATATATGAGGCAAGGGACGCTTATTTCTCTGGGTAGAGCTTTGGCTATGCTTGTGCACTATGGTGCCTGTTTCAAATTAGGAGATAAGATATCAGGAGTTCATAATAAGCACAGTTTAGCTTGTGTTACAACAGCACAGAAGCGGTACCTGTTATAGGAAGGTTTTTTTTTTTCTTTTTCTTTTTTCTTTTTCCCTTAGAAAACCTACTGCAGAAGATGTCAATTAGTTTTCCTGTGATAAAATCGTGGAGTGGGTATTTAGTTTATCTGGGTAGCCACATGCAGCATTTGTTAGGCTAGACATAAGCTGTGTAGTAACAGAAGGCGCACGTACTAGAAGAGTGTATGTCCCCCTACTCCAGTCTGTGGGGGTGGATGCTCGAGGAAATGCTGCTGACCATAAGAACAGTCT